AAAAACGGGCTGTGGGGTGGGCTGGGGGTCTGCTGCAGGTGTCACACCCCAAAAACGGGCTGTGGGGTGGGCTGGGGGTCTGTTCTGGGTGTCACACCCCAAAACTGGAGCCGTGGGTGGGCAGGAGGGATGGAAACACAGGAGGTGTTCTGTGTTTTGGGGGTGGCAGGATAAGGAGTCAGACAGGAGGAGAAGTCCCAGATTTGTGTTTTTGCCAGGAGCAGGATTTCAGTCCCAGATTATTGCGCTCCCATCCCTGGCTGAGTGCGAGAAAGATTTTCCTTCCTTGTTAAAGCAGGAAATTTCCTCCTCTTACCCCTCTGTCAGCGACCTGAGCACGCTCCTGTGGGGATCTGCCCATCTTTTTCCACCTCTTTGGGGTCGTTTCTCACAGTTTTGGCTGTTTTTGTGACGCTTTGCAGGGCACCTGACCGGGAAGCACGAGCGCCACTTCTCCATCTCGGGCTGCCCTCTGTACCACAACCTGTCTGCAGATGAGTGCAAGGTGAGCCGTCCTCGCCTCCCGACGCCCTCCGCGGGGACAGAGCGCTGATTCTGGCACGAAGCGCTGAGCCCGGCCAGCTGCGGGCAGCGGGAGTGGAGCTGCAGCGCTGCCCTGGCAGGGACGGGTGACAGGAGGGGTGACAGGAGAGGTGACAGGAGGGGTTCACAGGACGGGTGACAGGATGGGTGACAGGATGGGTGACAGGAGGGGTGACAGGAGGGGTGACAGGAGGGCTGACAGGAGGGGTGACAGGACGGGTGACAGGAGGACTGACAGTGCGGGTGACAGGAGGACTGACAGTGCGGGTGACAGGAGGGGTGACAGGAGAGCTGACAGGACGGGTGACAGGAGAGGTGACAGAAGGGGTGACAGTACGGGTGACAGTACGGGTGACAGTACAGGTGACAGGAGGGCTGACAGTACGGGTGACAGGACAGGTGACGGTACAGGTGACAGTACGGGTGACAGTACAGGTGACGGTACAGGTGACAGTTCGGGTGACAGGACAGGTGACAGGACAGGTGACAGTACAGTGACAGTACGGGTGACAGTTCAGGTGACAGTACAGTGACAGTACAGGTGACAGTACAGGTGACAGTACAGTGACAGTACGGTGACAGTTCAGGTGACAGTACGGTGACAGTACGGGTGACAGTACGGGTGACAGGACAGCTGACAGTACGGGTGACAGTTCAGGTGACGGTACAGGTGACAGTACAGGTGACAGTACAGTGACAGTACAGGTGACAGTTCAGGTGACGGTACAGGTGACAGTACGGGTGACAGTTCAGGTGACAGTACAGGTGACAGTACAGGTGACAGTACAGGTGGCAGTACAGGTGACAGTACAGGTGGCAGTACAGGTGACAGTACGGTGACAGTACGGCTGACAGTACAGATGACGGTACAGGTGACAGTACAGGTGACAGTTCAGGTGACAGGAGGTGCCTGCAGGTCTGTGAGCGGTTTTGCTCTCCAGGTGCGAGCGCAGAGCCGGGACAAGCAGATCGAGGAGCGGATGTTGGCCCACAGGCAGGATGACAACAACA